AAAGACCTCCAAAATGGGAGTCCCAAAAACATCAATTTGAGGGTTTCTAAAATGGGAACAAATCCAATGGAAGACCTAAGGATGGAAGGACCACTCTGTGGGAGATATCTCATCAAAGCAACAGGAGTGATCCCCCACCAGATTCAAACCCCGGGGTCATAATATGTTATAAGGTGACTACAATGAATGAAGGCTCATGAAAGGAAGTTCACAGTGAAAAAGCATTGGTATCTAGAGTAGGAGCCTCCCTGTTGGTTGATTGAAGTGACGAGTCTGGAGTTATCAGAGTGGAACATCACAAGATGCCCAGACAGTGGTGACTGAAGAAGAGGGCAAATCCAATAAGCCGCAGTCGTCTCCAAGAAGTTGATGTCCAGGGAATGATCCTCTGGACACCAGTCCCCAGAAAATGGGGTAGTGTTGAGAACTGCCCCAGCCAGAAAAAGAGAAATTGGTGTAAAGATGCATGAGGAGGTGAGTGGAGAACAGGTATACCCTGGATTGTGTTGAAGCAATCGAGCCACCATGACAGAGAGATGTAGAAAGAAAGGTAGAGACACAAGGATTGATAATGTATTGCACGACATGTTCCAATGATCCCCTAAAACTCACTGAAGGGGAATCATGTTTGCGCAACCATGAGGCATCAGGGCTCCAACAGAGGCAAGACAGTCCTTGAATGTGATAGGGAAGTGTCTTGGATACCAAAATTTCCAAGCCATGGATATACAATGGAGAGGTTCAGGCCAACAGCATGTTGGAGTTAAGGAAAACCTCCATGTTGAAAAGAAACTGAGTGGGAGTCAAAATGGACTTGAAAAAGTTAGGCCACCCAACCCAGGCAAGAAGCCTCTTGAAGAAGATTAGAGGTAGCAATCACCAGTTCCTGTAGAAATGGGGCTAGGAGAAGCCAAACATATAATAACAGGGCATCCGAAATTTCTTCTTTGGTTAAACACAGCCAAGAAAAAGGTGCCCAATGCAAACTGAAAAAGCCATACAACCAAAATAGAGAAACAATGAGAAAATGATTCAGAAAACAAATCAATGACAGTGTGCCAAACCCCTGACTGCAAAGGGATGAAAAAAGATTGGATGCTGGAGACAAGAACTATAGCTCCTGCTACCAACAAAGAAGACCCCACATTCTGAAGATAATGAAGATGTATAGGATCAATATGAAGAGGTGGAATATGAAAGAGGAAAGAACAACAATGAGAAAGAACGTGTAGAACCCAAAGGTTGGTGGAGAAGGAAGAAAACAGGAGGGTAAAATGGGAAAGACAGGCACTGATGGGTACACATCCAAGGATCAGTTCCAAAGAAGAGTCACAATCAAGAACATGACAACTAGCCAAGCAGGAGGGACATAAACAAACAAACAAAAGTGAGAGAATGAGAAACAGGAGTAGGGTAGCCCAACATGACTCCCAAGGATGAGGGACAGACAGAAGATCAATAAGTTGGAAAATCAAAGAAATCATAGGCAGCAATAAACAGCCTAAACCAAGGATTCCAAAGAGTCAGGAACACTCCCAAAGACCAGGTCTGTAAGAAAATGAGCAAGACAAACGACCCAGATGTAAAAGGAAGGGATGCAGACACCTGACTGAAGTGAACCCAAAAACAAAGAAAATAGGTCAAAACAGAAGAGAATGAAATAGAAATCAGAGAAGTCCCCACCAAAACTATTTGGATCACAAAGAAAAGCATCAGAGAGGGGTGAAGGGCAGAGATGAAGATATAGGGTAAAGACAAACAAAAACAAAAGCTAGCTGGAAAGAAAGAGAAATACTTCAAGCAGAAAGAAAGGATACAAAATATTGGGAATCAAGAAATATAAAACACCATAGCAAAGGAGTCACCAAGATGAAGAGAGCACTAGGCAACATGAAGTTGGGTTATAAGGAGCATACAAAGTAAAACAACAAAAATACATTATAATGTACAGGAAAAAATATAGTACATTATATACCTGTTTCGTGAAGTTAACAAACAGAAAAGGAGGAAATATCTGTTCCTCATCATGGAGTGAAGAACCAGAAACAAAGGCCAGAGGTGGAAGAGCTGGCCAAAAGTGTCCACGAGCAAGGCAGGTTCCACAAAAGACAAACAAAACGACTAGGGACCTGAACTGGAGAAGAAATAGAGAGAAGAGAACCAACTACTTGATGTAAGAAAGTGAGTATATCATCAGTGAACTTGTTGGTACACCACAGTTAATCACAGTTTTGGAAGTTAAGTTATTCATGATATCGAAACTACTTTAAAATAGATTGGAATCCAAGACGTGTCACATGCAGGAGTGTGTTCACTAAGTGAGCTAAAAGGATAATAACTGAGTATCAGATCCACAAAGAGATAAAGTGCCTCCAGTTGCCATTGAGTCAGTTGGTCAAAAATATCCGAAAATGAATATCTGAGTATTGGAACTTTTTTGTATTGAATGATATACATATATAATCACATATGTATGTGTGTGTGTGTGTGTGCGTGCGTGCGCACGCTTGTGTATATATGTATTTGTATAATCATTTGGGTCAATCTATGTTTATATATGTGTGTGTGTGTGTGTGTTTGCCCGCTTATATGTGTATATATTTTTATAACTTCCTATTGTTTGTAAGCATTGTTATACACGTTTAATTGTTACATTGTCACAATTAAACCTTCGATTTAGAATGTTTTCGTTTACGGGTTTACTGTTCAGTTAGTGATACCTGAAGAAGGACATTGCCCGAAACGTTGTATCCACAACAGTATATATATCTGTAGTTAACTCCATGGTGGTTTGACCTACACCATACCTCTTTTTATATCTGTTAACAACCACTACCTGTAATTTCCTACACAGTTTTAGTTATATCTTAGTTAGCTAAGCAGCGTTTTTTGTTTTACTCACCATTATGCCCCAAGTTAAACAAAAATCGTGGCCTTGCTAACTTTGAATGAATAATTGCTGTAAAATTCTTATCAATGCTAAGTGTAGCTACCAGTTTGGCCGCCAATTTTGAACTCATTCCTTTAACGACACGCTCAATCCTTTTCTGGCCGCAAGGTTTTTTTTGTTGTTGTTTTTTGTTTTTGTTTTCACACCTAAGATGTTTTTGATTAGAAACCAGAAGGAATCCCCAATAGTCGTGCCACTTGAAATTTATTTATTTATTTAGAGTATATTAATCTATGGGACCTATTTTCCTTTTTATGAGCTATATTTTGTGCGCCAGCAATACCAAGCGTGGGGCGCTCATATACCCGGTTCAATTTTATTATTCTATCAGGATCTCTACCATCCTACCTTCAAATTGAAATTTGTTTAGACAGGATTACACCTCCTGGGTCCAAAATTGTAATTATATCTCCAATCGGTCAAGAGATGGTGGAGCTATGATCTAAAAGTTTGTACTTCAAGAAGAAAAAAAAACAGAGTCGTCCTATGAGCAGCTAAAAATACAGCAGTCAGATTGCGTTAAATGAAAAAATGGTGAATGTTGATATTTATGATATTAATGCAATTTTATTGGACATTGAAGGAACGACAACATCTATAAGTTTTGTAAAAGTAAGATATTTTTCGTCGTTATATTTTGAAGAAAATATTTTCCACTGAAATGAAATAAGATCTGTTAAAAGCCTGTGGGTTAGCACTGTAGCTAAAAAGAAAGAAAAATATTAGTTACTAGGTTCTACACTTTCCTTACTCAATCAGGCCAATGGCAACGATGATAACAATGGCAGTGGGTAGCAATACAAGTTTACAAGTACTATTTACTTTTTTAGCACTAGTTCTAGTAGAGCTAGCTGTTTACATTATGTATTATATGATTAGTTTCAAATATTTTTCAAGACATACTATTAGTGTTAATGTCAGTGTCATGTACAATAAAATGAATAATACTAATAGTATGGCTGTTTATTTTTTAATGGGTTGTTTTGGCTTTGGAAATAATGCACAAATATTTTCTTTCGAAAGTGACAATTAATGACCAGTTACTGAGTTCATCTAGAGTTAAAATAAAAGAATTTTAATATAATTCACCAAATTGTAGAAGTTGCACTTTTTGTGGATATTTAAAACAGTTTATGTTGTATTATAGTTACATCTATCTCTATCATCTCAGTTACTCACTTTTTGTACTTATAGAATGTTCTTCTATTGTAGGTCTGTTAATGCATAAGTTCTAGTTAGTCTTAACATTATGGACCAATTAAATTGTATCAAAGAATGATATCATATGGCCATGTAACATAACTTAGGGCTGTCCTTGCACACCCACCCTTTACTTTTACAATTCTATTTGGATAAGGAGTTAATAGCTAAAACAGATTCAATGACACTTGAGTTAATTGGATATGTTGATATGAAGAGAATCTTTAGTCGGTTTAGAGTGTGCTACTCAGTTTTACCTTAAAAAATTGAATTAAAAACTAGGTAAGCATATGTTAGAGTCTTCAATGATGATGCTGTAGACACTGGGCCTAGAGAATGTTCATGATATGGTCCTGGATTATGTAATTAATATGAGGGATGCATGGGCCCTACTTAAACAGAACAGTGCTCACCTAATCATCTGTGGTTATTTAGATTATGCCTTTGAATCTCAAAGAACTACTTCAGACAATAGTGAGTTATCACCTACAAGTTTTACAATAGCTTGTGAGAATGGCTGCAATAGACCCAACACTCCACTTCCTTGCACCCATAAAACTTCAATTCATCCAGTATGTTTCTGTAAATATAAGTGTAAATGATGACACTGACTAGTAGGTATGTAGTGACTAATTGCAAATATTCCTTGGTTTTAAGTGCATTTCCAAAGCACTTGGTAACTGAGCCCAACAAGAGTCTATTGTGCAAAGAACAACTTTTTTTTTCCTTTTCTCACCTGTAATATTTTTCCGGTCTTTCATGGAATATGTTTCTCATGGTAAAACTTTATAATCTGTGTAGTATGTGTTCTCAGTTTTAAGTGTGGAAATGTCCTCAGCAAACAAATATTCATCCTTGTTAGTAATTGAAGAACAGGACTTAATGATGACATTTTCCATCCACTGGGACTTTGGTTTTCCTCCTAACCAACTTGCAGCTTATTTGTTGAACCCAAAACTTGAAGGAAGATGATAGACTGAAGCCATAGTTATGATTGTGAAGGTAACCAAGTAATCTCAACATTAATTCAGTGGTTATTTCATGGGATATGATGATGCTTATCGTTTTGATGAACTGTTAAATTTTTATTTTAATAAACATTATTCATGCGATGAATTCAAAAATATATGTATTTCTTTGGAGAAATGATAAGGTAGTACTGAAATTAACACTTGAATTTGGAGAATACCATACATAATTTTCTTAAACACTTTGGTTTCTATGATGCCAAATGAATTCACACACATAAGTCTACCACCTCTCTCAAATAATTGTTGTAGTCCACCACAGTACATCCATTTACTTGAGTTCATCTTTGCAAAATTTGATGCTTGTGTAGTATTTGAACCAACAATATATAAACATAACTATTTTTTTCAGAGGGAGTGTTGTTCCTTCTAACCAGGTTCCCTTCCTAGTTGAATGTGATTCGTTACAGGAGCCATTTGGATATCTCCATATAGTTCCGTCAAGCAGAAATTTGATGTTCATTTGGTGTTTTGTGTGACATCTTTTTTTCAGAGATAATTTTGAAGGATTGCAAAAAGTGCACCAATTGTTCTTCAAACAGTAAGTTTGTCCATAAACATTGTAAATTAATTTCCAATTTTTATGTGTAAAACCTGTAAAGAATAATAATAAGTTTAATCGTCCTTTTCAGTACTTTCTTATCATTTCTCCAAAGAAATGCATATATTTTTAAATTTAGCGCATGAAACTGTATTAGAATAACATTTATTAAAATAAAAATTTAACAGTTCATTAAACCGGAAAAATGCCGATATGGCTAAATATAGAGCTTGATACAAATGGTAAATTTGGAAAGTTCTATGGAAGTCATTTAACATCACTGACATTTTTTCATAGTTGAAAATACTTTTTGGAAGTTGCCAGTTATTTAAAGATATTCTGCAAATATTAAGCTTTCCACTGACTGCTAGTGTTTCTCAACACAATGAAAAAAAACACAGCTAAAGTTTTTATTGTGCTCTGTAATCTCCATCTTATCCAAGATGGCAGTATGGACAATAGCAATAGAGAATGCTCCTAGTGACTAGATAGTAAGTCTGAAGGCTTATAATGTCACAAACTAGGTTTCAATACCTGTGATGGACACAGCACGTATAGCCCATTGTGTAGCTTTGTGCTTAACAAAAAAAATAAATCAACAGAAAAGAGGCCAAATTGTGGATTGATAATGAATATTGAAATGTAGCAGATACAACTGTGAGCACCAGCAGGTAGAGCTGAGCAATTAATCAATTAGTATTACATAAAATATTTGATTAATCAAAATTAATGTTTCTGATTATTAGTTTTTGAGTATTTCAACTATCCAGTAACCAAAATATTACCATTATGATTTATTATTATTATTGGTTAATTCAAGTTTTTCAGTTAAATCTATTAGTGTCATGACTCATGAAAATAATAAGCTAATTAAAATTAGTGTTTGAAGTTCTTGTTATTGTTGATTTTTCCAACTATCCAGTATATTGATATATATATTTGATATATTGCCATTATGTTTGTTTGTTGTTAAGCACAAAGTGACACAATGGGCTGTCTATGCTATAGCCACTGCAGGTATCAAAACCCAATTTGCAGCATTATTATTTTCTTTAATTAGCCTTCACATGTGAATAAACAATTGGTTGAACATGATAAATTAATGAGCCCAATGACAAATTACTGAGCAAATTCTACTAATTGCTGAGCACGACTAACAGGACTGTACCAGCAAAAGAGAGAGAGAGAAATATAGGAAGTAGTAATTCAATGACTTATGAGTTAAGTGAGTCATGTTAATGGTCTAAACTGTTTTTGTTGCAGTTGCTCAGAAGTACTAAAAACGTTGCTATAATACTCAAAATTTGATCTTCAATGAAACAAGTACCCAATACCGATTCTTTTTTCAAAGCCTATGGAGGGGGGGGGGGTTAGTAGGTGTGGTTTTCAAAAGACTAATGAGTAGTTTTCACTCCTGGTTACTTATCACTTGTATCTAACCAGCCAGTAGAATACTCTATGTTACTTGTTTTATTTATACATAATTTTTAGTTTTTATGTTAAAAACACTTGCATATTATACCATTATGACTAAAGCTTGTATGAGGAGGCATTTAATGTAATATAACATGTGGACAACAAGGGACCATTTGGTCCTTTAAGGCTATCTTTTCACACCCACCCTTAAGAAGAGTGCAAATTTGAAATCATCCCATTCTTTTGAAGGAAATATTTGATTCCCGTTTTAAGCTCCTGTAAAGTTCTGACCTCCACTACTGCTGACAGCAATTCAATCCATATGTCAATCACCATGTTAGAAAATTAAAACTATTTTAACTGAAGCTTAGGTTGCCTTTTGCAAGTCTTAAACTTGTATCCTCTCCTCCTATTATCTTCAGAATATAGCACAAAGAAATAAGAGACCTTTATCCTATCACTTATCTAGACACTCTTGTAAGATTCAGTAAGATCACCTATTACCTTCCTTTTCTCAAAGAGAAAATAAATAAAGAAATAAATCTTAACCTATCCCTATAAGATAACTTTTCTATTTTCAGAATCATCCTGGTAACCCTTCTCTGAACCCTTCCCAAAAGGTCAAGGAAAATGGAGAGAAAAATTGTAAATAGTATTCCAAGTGAAGCCTAACTACAATATGTACAGAGATACTTGTCTCTTTTGATTTGTAATCATTATGTGTTTAATACATCCAAAAACTCTCTTGGCTTTACTACTAGCAACAGGGTGCTACTTCAATGGCTTGAGTGACTTACCTACTACTATGTACAGATCATTTTCTTCATTCACACTGTTGGGTGGGTTTCCATCTACGTTAAGTACGTAATCCAAATTATGATAACCCAAATATTTGTCCAACCTAGCAGTTGATCCATGTCATTCTGTAATACCATCCTTATTACAGCTAGAAATATCCAAGAGTAACTAATTTACTAATTATGCCCTTATGAGTATCATTAATGTAAATAAGAAATGGCAAAGACCCCTGTTGTATTCAACTAGTAACAAGGGTCCAGTTTTACTAGTTTCCATTAATATATTTTGCTTTCTCTCATCCAAAAATGCTACAATCCAATTAACTGCCTATGTGATTTTCTTAGCAAATTTTTGTGATGCTATATCAAAACTTTTTGGAAACCTAATTACTTCTAGTCCACACTCTGTCTTTTATACAAATAAGTAACATCCTTGAGGAGGAATTATAACATGTTCTTGATATGGTTGAATATCTCAACACTGTATTGCTGCTGCCTCAAATGTGAGCCAAAATGTTTCCTTTACTTCGTAGCAATACAGAATCCTTAAATCTGTGAAGAGATGGAATGGAGGTGGCCAAAAATGAAAGCAATAAACTTGGGACAAAAGTAAGCATTAACCAGATAAGTTCACAAATACTTTCCAGATAGTGCACAAGTTTTATTTTGGGAAAAGAGTCATTTAGCTTGTATAATCCAAGATTGAACACCAGTTCTCTGCTGTTTATATGGACTTCAAAGACCATCATATCAGAGTTTGGAGAAAATCAAAGAAAGAGAAAGACAAAACTTATTAATACAATTATTGCTATGCCTTGTAATTTTTATGCACAAGCAAAATTTCTCAATATAGAAGTTACTGGAACTAAATAAGTGTCTGAAATTGACATTATTTATCATTCATAATATATTTGGAGTCAACCTGTTAAGTATTCTGTGAGAAATCCAAATTTGAAATAGAAATATTGTAGAAAGTTATAACTTTTTTTTGGAAAATTATATTTATATAATCACAGTGCACAACAATAGTCAAAGAACATTTATAACACAACATATGCTAGTTTTGTTAATTTGAATAGAATGTAAAACACTACAAAATTGCACAGTATATTAGCTTGAACTCTTTTTTTTTTTTAAATATACTTACAAGTAATTACAATAACATAACTACATGTTAACACTAATAAATATTATTTTCTCTGTTGCAACCTAAAATTTTAAAGTCAAAAAGACTATTTTTAAAAATTTCTCTACCTTAATATATAAATAGAAAGAGAGTGAGAGACACACACACACACACAGTTTTGGTGTATTTTATTTATCATATTATGTGAAGCACTTTCACATTAAACACTCGATTAATAATAACCATAATGTGATCTATATATTAACATAACTTTTATTCAGTAGGGCTTATACTTCCCATTTCTCAAATGATTTGCCATCTCTGAGTCCATTAAAATGTTTGGTCTACCCACAGTCAATGCTAAATGGTTCCATGGGAGCTTCTGTGTTCTCAACGTTGTTAATGATGAGTCTCACAGGCTTTTTTTCTTGGTGAGTCTGGCGACTCCTCAGTAAGTTTTAACAACCATTGGAAAAACAGGGAAAAGAACTATGCACCCATTATCTCTGTTCATATCATTTTGTTGGACTGGAAATTAGTAGAAAGTGATCTTCACATGTTGCTAGCCCAACTTTCTCATGAAAATACAGAATGGTCCTTTAGCAACATTGTGTTTTAATGGTTAAAGTTAGGGGTACATTATTTCTTTATTCTCTGACTGGACATCTGTGAATTTTAATCTTTGTATTAGTCAGTGTTATCCTGGTTATCAGACCATTGGTCTTTGTGCAGTAAAGTTGGGTTAACTTGTACAAATATTCAGTCACACAGATAATATTACTTAAAGTTAAAACACTGTTGCATTGTACTGTTTAACTTATTTTTGGTTTTACATCTTGAAAGTAATCTCCAACATTCATCACACTGCAGTGATTTGGTATTCATTTTCTAAACATCAATGACTCACTGCCAGCTAGATCTTATAATGATGACTTATCTGTATGTAACTCTTTACTTAAGAATACCACACCTTGTTAGGAGAATGAATTTTAAGGTTGTTGTTTCTCCAAAAACAAATAATAACAATATAAATATATTAATGATATTCAGTAAATAGTACTAATTATTTTTTAAGTTTATGCTTTCACAATTTTAAGGAATTCAGGTTATTTATTCCATTCATGTAACTTCACAACTAATTGTTTTTTGAGATAAAATTAATTTTTCTATGAAGTAATATTTACATGTACAGTAGTTATTTTCTCTTTGTTGTATAAAGAAGTAACTTTGTTTGAACTGTGAAGTTGCTGATAAAATTTTAAAAGAAAAGGTAGAGGGCTGAATATATTATTTTTAATATAGAATGCTATATATGAGTGTCCAGAAATATTAAGTTTGCAAATCAGCTGTACTATACAACATTTTAGTGTTAAATATCCTTGTATGTATTTTTGTATTTATGGATAAATGATGAGATCAACATTCTGAGTAAAAGTGTTTCTACTTGATACCTGATTGTGTGGACTTTGTGAACTTAAAAAATGTGTGAGTGATGTATATATACTTTAACCACATATATGTGTAATATTTTCAGGATGTGTTGTTTCCTTATATAAGACAGAACTTGATTAGATATGTCAAAGACCACTGGAAGAATGCTGAGTTAATAAAAGACATTGACTCATTGAGGATGCAGGTAAACCTTGCAGTTCTAAGATTTTTTAACAATATTTTTTTCTCATAGGTCAAAATATCAGCAAACTTGTTAAATTAAATTTCTGTAAGATAAATGGATACATCAGTTTGTGATTTTAAACAAATTGAATGCCTTATGTTGTTTTTACTCTTCCTCATAAAATGATACTTTTAGCTGAACTTTAAACAGTTGTTATACTCACTGATAAATATAATGAGTCCAGTGTTTATTAATTGTTATTAATGTTTGCTAATATGATGCTACATCTTATGGCTTATCTATATTTCATTTATTCTTGGAATGAAAAAAGTATTTAACTTCACTTGGGTCAGATTATAGTGTAGCAGGTAAGCACTTAAAATTGTTCAGTTGATGAAGAAAATGTGAAAATTGAAGATTCATGTAAAAGTATGATCCATCATAAATTCTGTCTTAAGCAGCCACCATACTGAATTCCAATATGGCCACCATTGAAAACTAGCATTACTCAAGTATATTCTTCAAATGCAGATAGAAATCTCATCTATATATCTAAAATTGGGCATACATGTAAATTTTCTTATGGAAATCCAGGTAAAAGCAAAACCCATCACAGATCTTGTCTCAAACAACTGACATCTTGCATTCCCTCATGGCCACTGGCAAAAACCATGTGTTGTCTTTGCCATTGAGTTTGCTTTAAACTGTTAAAAAATATAAAAGTCAGTTTAATTTCTAACATACTTCTAACCATTACTAGTTTGAAAGATATTGATTCATTTGTTTATTTGTTTTTTCACTGGTGCAAAGACGGAAATGAAGAATTTCAGGCTAAGTTTGGCCTGCTGTAAAATGATAATGGTTCAAGCAATTTCCTTGAAATTTATTATGAAATGTAAGGAGACTTGGTAAACCTATCATACAAAAAATGGGAGAGTTTAGGATTAACAGCGGTGATTATACGGACGGTTGAAAAATCTAAAGTTTTCATTCCTGTTAATAACACACTGGGTGTCATGTGGTTTGTTGTTGTTTTTGGCCACACGACTCACTATCGTGTGTCTTGATCAATGTTTCAGAAGGAATTACTGTGGAAAGTATAGAGGGTTGAGTATGATACATTTAAACTCTTTTGAATATGCAAATCAACAAGTCACTTGACAACCACAGTGGAATAGCTTATATCAGAATTACATTTTGAAATTGTTTGGCATTTCAGAGGTAGTATGATACTACCAAAAATAGGTCCCTTTTTGAAAATGTATTTAACAGCCCTTTTCATTGTAAAATATCCATACACCCAGATCATAAAGATGTTTTCAGATCAGGGATTTAGATTTTCCAAGATGTGGAATCCTTTGTACTAAATGGCATTGGAAAACAAAGAATATGGATCAATTTGAAGCAGCAGAAGTATCCAGAAAGAGATTTGTAATAAGTCACACCCCAGCAGTGATAAGTAAACTGTAGCATGTTGTAACAGCTAAGAATTCATGAACACAGAGGTCAGTGGCAAAAGCTGTCCTTGCCCCTAGTAACATTAAATAACATAATCATAAAGAATCTCCATCTGTAAACAAGGCCAGTCGAGTAAGAACTCACCAAGATAAGGCTTTTAATCATAACTCAAGCAGCTGAAAAATGAAATGGATATTCATACTATTTCATACAAAGACGTAATGTTCAAGTAACCAGGTACATTATCAATGGATTTCTGTGCAGATGCGCAAAACATTCTTCCTTGTATACTAGATGGATTATAGAAAGCAAGTACGGAGGAGTGGTGTGCTATGTATATGACAGCCTTACAACAAAGCCTATTGCAATAGAAGCTATGCTGCAAGACTGTAGTCAAGTTGCGTAATCATAAGGTTGGGCATTATCAGATATGGTGAAGCTCCAAAACTGTTTTAATTACAACATACCATCTGTATAAATGGATTACCATATAGGTCTGTATTTGTGCAAATTTTCAACCAAATCTGTTAAGCCACTGTAGACCTTTTCACCTCCAATCTTTTTATGATATGAATATACATATCTTTTTAATTTCATCCTGTAATAGGCAGTAGAAGACTTGAAGAATGGGTTAAATGTAGTTCAAATACCAGATATTGATGAGGAGGAGGACAGACTTCAAGAAGCTATCATAACCAATGTTTTTGATCAGATGGATGCTGACCGTAAAACAACTGCATTGAAACAGCTTCAGGGTCATATATGGAGAGAAGCTTATCATAGTGGAAAGATAGAGGGCCAGTAGGTACTTGTATATGTAAATAAACTACACATGGCACATTATTAATATAGGTTACCCTTTCATGTGGTTAAGTTTCTTATTCTGTTATTTTATCTTGAACTTGCCTACTTGATTCTTATTTCTTATCCTAGCTATAGTTGATCTAACTCATTTACTAATTAGCCAACTTTTGTATGTTACTGCCTTATTGCTGCCAAATGTCCTATATGAAACATTATTGTAACAATATTTCAAGTCAGGTGGACTTATCTGTGAAATAATAAAAGCATTTTCTTATTGAGTTTGTTCTCATGCTGTCAACAACCAGGTGACTTTAGGTTCTTAGTTTCCTTAACATAATGCAGAACACTCTCCCACTTGTCCACATACTTATTTATTGCACATGCACCAAGAAAATGTACATAAGCCCTACTTTCCCACCATTTCCTGGTTGACAGTTGTTTTTTAACTTTGCTCACTATGAACTCTGAGGTCAAAGTTAATTACTGCTGCAATTGTTCCTACCAATATTGGATGTTTTACAACTTCTTTGAAAGCTCTACTCATATTGTCTGTTTCCAGCATACAAGGAGATCCCATGGCCATATTGTTGGCCCTTATTGTTGATCAGTATATTTAAGCCATTAATTCCATATTATCTGCTTATGTCCTTATTCTTATAATGATGACAATGATAAAGATCTTTTGTTTTGACCTGTTCACCTTCATTTTGTGAAGAGTAGGATTTGTCAGTTAGTCCTAATTTTGAAGATGCTTCTGGTTGTCTGATTTCTCTTTTTCTCAGGTATGGTCTATTTTAAATATTGAATTCTGTTATGCCTGAGGGTGCTAATCTCAAGTTGAACAGTTCAGTCCATGAATCTCTATATTCTCCACTTTCTTCTGGTCTTCAGGTCATTATTGATGCTCTTAGGAGTCAGTTATATGTTAAGTCTTTTAGTGGAGGTAGTTTCCTCTACTCAACCATTTACTCAGTTTTTGCCCCATGCACTGTAAATTTGTCTTATTTTGAGATTTTCTCTTTTGGAATTATTATTAAGTACCAGCTACTCTCATTTCCTTCATTCCTTTAGTTATTTTTTAAATTGCAATCTTCCTTACTGCAGTTATCACTGATGTAGTTTCTATTACTACATTACTATTATGTTTCTTTGAAATCTTAGCATATCATACTTTGTTACAAAACAGTCGTTTCCCACATGCACCCATATTAGTTTCTTGTTCAGGCTGGCTGTTGTTAGGCCCTTTGGCCAAAAAGCTTAATTCTCTTTTGGAGCGGCTGGAATGTTAGCCTGACACTCTTCATTTGTGGATTAACAGTCCTGTTAGACCACCTTCCAGAGTTGTTAGTTTGTTGCATTAGACATAGTTTTTCTTGTCACCAACTTCTCAACATATTACTTTTTCCATATTTTGTTTCATGATTATGTCATATCAGCTTCTTCCTAGCTGGTTTCAGAGCTGCCTAATCTGAAACTTTCAGATGCCAGAGAAGCCATCAATCTCTTTTGTCCTCTTTTATTCCAGGACCTCTTCTGAGCCCATTGTCTTCTGTTTACCAAATTCCTAGACACTGTTCTATTGGGCATAGTCTTACATTTCTTCGCTTTTTCCTTTTTTGAGCCATCAACAATTTGTTCACTTTATCAGCTATCTTCAAAATGTCTTTTTTTATTGCTTGCATTAATCAGAAGGTGTTCTAATATCTGTCTTTGATAAGATTCATGTCACTTTTCTCTCAAAACCTTATACTTGTACCCAGATTGCACCCTCCTACCTAAGCGTGAAACATCAAGAGATGGTATCCATTTTTGCTTTTTTTTTCATTTGTTTGTTGTGTATCCTGTTTGATCACGATTCTCACTGCGAAGAAAGTTTTTATGCCCAATCAGAGCCATTTGTTTTATCTGTCCAATACCGAGTCTTTCAGGATGGCTTGGAAAAGATTGTTTATACATTACAACAAATCATGCTTTTCAGATCTTACTTAGGCTACATTGACAAATTGGCTTGTCCAGTTGATCCATTTTGTTTACTGTGGTGTTTCCAAACATCTTAAAAGTTCATTTTGGGTTGTATCTTACCAATTTGGCCATTTAGTGATGTTTATGGCATGGTGATTGTAGTACCCGTAGAGCTTATCTTGAGTATAGAGATGTTGATGTATCTGAATATGTTCTTGAAAATTCAGGATTTTGTTTGCCTTCAGTTGTGAATCCCTATCATGGACCTTTATTTATGATATATTCCTATACCACTCAAAACCCGTGGTCATAATTCCAGGGGTGTCTGAGGTTGAGAAATCATTATAAAACAAAAACAATAAAGAATCACAGTCTCTCCTTATAATATATGACTCCTTTTATGGGTTGATCCATTTGGGACTCTCTTGTGTCACATATACCTCTGCAGTTGTCCTAGATAAAATTCCACCCTCTAGCTGGAGCTCCATAAGAGGGTGAACCGCTCTGATAGTGACAGAGGATGCCTCGATAGGTACCTTTTCCAACCTTTGCATGTACATTCTCGCATAGCACTTGAGATATTGGAGATGAGAGGCCTGTTCTCCATATAATGTTTCATAGCTCCGACCAGGTTGGGGATCACCTCATATTTTTTTCTGTAACCTTGTTCCCATTGCACTGTCTTAGGGTTGTTGATCCTATCTTGAATCTACCTAGATCTTTTCAATATTCCCTGGGTGCCCACTGGCTAGGCTGATCTTTTCTGAATAGGATGAATGGAGCTTTAGCCCCATGAGCTTGTCCAGTAATTAGTTACCACTGATACCCTCCTTCAAAAATTTTCCACTTCAAGTACAGAACTACATTTTGTGCTCACACATATTATTAACCCTCTTGCTACAGACAGACTAAAAAGTACATGTCACAATGTTTTGGATGTTCTTTTCAAAATATAATTAAACAATTTTTTTATCAATGTATTTCAATAGAATTGGCATCAAAATGTAGTTTATAGTTAAATTTTAATTGTATGTATGTTTTACTCTTTTCATTTGAAAGAAAATATTAAAAACGAAATGCTAAATATCTTTTTTTGTGTATGGGTCACATGGAATGTCATCTTGTAATGTTTACTAAAAGCTGAAGATACATAGAACATGTTAAAAGTTATAGTGTGGAAACTCTGATGGTTACTTTGGGGGTCACGTGGTTGGTGTAATCCACCAAGACAGTAGTGAAATGTTTTATGGGTTTCCATAGTGAGGAGATTCCCTTCTGAGAAAAATGCCTTTCTTTGACCCAGTCTTCTTGAGACTGGTCTACTTCACTTGGTTCATGATCGGCAGGCCCACCGACAAGAGGGGCAACTGTTTAGGGGCCCAGGCAAATGAAACCTGGTTATGCCATAAAGCATCTTTAGGCTATATCTTCATTTAATGATAAAAACCATAGTTTTTGGCTTTTCTTTGCATATAGACACTTAATACATTAAGAACGACTGAAATAATAATTTGAGTAATAATTAATATGTATTTGTTACTAGATTTAATAGATATTTGTTGTTACTTTATTAACGTTTTTACGCTTATACTGTGAGGTAAAAACGGCTGCTGCTATGATTTTGTCTGGTTTATGCGCTCATTGTTGTCCTAATTTAGGATCTTCTTTTTAATAAATTCTTGAAAATGTTAAAAAAGAGAGAGAGAAAAGGGGCCTGGCGAGGATGTTTGCCCCGGGGCCTATGCTGGCTCTCAACATTCCTGATGATCGGTTTACCTTTACTGTGGTTCGGGACTCAACTCAAACTCTGCTTAACCACTTAATTCATTTATTGTGGTCTAGATTGTTATTTACCATCTACCAGTGTTCCTTACAGCACTCTCTGGCTTTCTTCATATCATTATGGGTATTCTGTTTTTTAATATTTCAGAGGTATTAAAGTATCTGTTCTAGTCCATCACTTCAAATTAGGGACAGCTTGCAGAAATAGACTTTGAGTAGTTCTGCTCAAATCTTTGAAGCAAACTTTCAAAACAATGTATTTTATCAGTGTTATCTAGTTATTGAATCAGAGCTTTAAGTAGATAAGCAGAATTTTGATAGCAAAAATACAGAAGTTGGTTTTTTAAGTGAATATCAACACAATATTTGTGACTTTTTCCAGTTTTTAGGCTGTCCTGTTTTTCATCAGCTGGAGTTTGTAAAAAGATTTTACTATTATTAACAATCTAACCTTTTTGCAAAATCCTAAAGCAGCTTTTTTAATACATTACTAATTTGATATGTATACTTCAATCCATGAGAGTATTTACATTAAATGACTTGCTTCTTTTCATCTTGTTCCATAAAGTATTTTAGAAGTTAACATTCTGGGGGACTTGTACACCAAATCCTCAATTTATTCTCTGTTGACAAAACTTTGTGTAAAAATCATTCCTTTGATTATACAAAATACATTTTTTCTTTTTAATAGCTCAAAAAGTTTTAGGATTGTCATCTTTCTCTCCTAGTGTATAAATTTCATATTTTGAATTTTAGCAAGTTCTAATTTGCACTCCTAAGTGTGATTGAGGCTATGCTAAAATTCAGCACAAGGAGTTTCTTTCTGTAACAGGATCTGATTGTGAAAGCTGCCTACTGTTTTGTGTATAGTTATGTTGTATTCAGATTTACAAAAATCTCGTGGAGCAGATATACTTTATGATGTTTGTTATCAGCCTTTTCGAGAATGTAGTTTTGGTTGTCTTCAGGCATATTTCTTTCTGTTCTGAAAAACAGAAGACTTCCTATTGTAGTTTTGACTTTTCACCCATGGTATTCAAAGTAAATATTATGTCAGCCATACTCCATCCACAGTCACAACTGAAGAATGATTCCAGAAAATGAATCATTTGGTTTGATGTCATAAGGTATAATATAATACCATGTGATTGGGATTTAGTTCAATCAGTTAATGTTGTGATAAGTAAAAGTTCTTCAGCTTTATATGGATTTTGGGAGGAGATTTTGTAAAAAAAAAAATTTATTTCAAAGATTTTTATACCGTCCTCTTGGCCATCATAAAGTTGCTAATTTGTTTCATTTATTGCTATGAGCATTGTATTTAACTTTTAAACTCAATGTATCGCAATACAGTAGTCAATCCCACCTGTACAATTGGCTATTTTCTTTTTTATTCAACAAATAGTCTATTTTGTCTTCAATTTCCTGCCAAATTTGTCTTTCACTATTCATCTATCTTAATTTTGTAGAGATCAGATAACTGTGTACTAGGTTAATCCTTGATATTGCTGTTCGTTCATGGCTAACATAGAATACAAGATTAACAAACAGTTGGTTCAATTGAAGGATTATTTTAAATTCAGACAGTTAAGCTGTAATGGATTTAATTTTCACTAAATTTGTTGTTTCATTCATAAGTACTTTTTACCAAAACAATTAAGTGTCTGCCTTATTTTTGACAGATGTTTCACTTCGGATACTAAATTGTTTTTATTTCTTTTGACAGAGAAAGTAAACACCTTTGTATTTGCTCCTCACATTGTTTTTTTTTAAATCTATGATGGAAAACAGGTTTGCCATTTTAGTATCTTGCATTTTTCTTGTTGTACAATTTTTGTTCTCTTAATTATTCTTCAAGTAGACCAGGTCTGTAATAACTAATCTGGACTTTTTGATCAGGTGGATCTAGTATAATAAAGTTGCTTGGAATTGACATTTCTTGACTGCTACACTTCCATAACTTAATTTATTTCATTAGGATTTCACCCTCACAACACAGTTTCTTGTTTCTATCTTTCTGTAAATTATTCACACATTACACTTCTATATTAAATTTTCTGTGTTTTGCCTATAATCTCACTACTTGTATCATGTGGAAGAAATGTGCAGTATTGAATGAATTTAATTATTTTTTTCTTCTTCCTTATTTTATTTGTAGTAGAATTCTTGCATTTTATATAAACTTATCTCTATCATCCAGGCCAGTAAACCCAAGTTCTCTCCCTGGGTAATAACTCATCAAAGACAACAGACAAATCTGAAATGCTATTTTTTTGTATTCTTTTTTAAATATGTTTGGAAAAATTAAGAGGAATATGAAAAATCTGCAGTTTAACGTGACTTTTATCACAAGTAAAAAACATTTTCACTATTTTTGGTATACCCAAATACTCCCAATAATTCTTATTCTATTAGAGTAGGCTGAATTGTTAACATAATATTGTTTGTATAGGTATTTTAACACTTGAGGTTTGCCTTTTTAAGTGTGTATGAAGATGTTATGCCAGCACTAAAAAGTTGGAAAACAGCAGGAAAACATGTTTATATATATTCATCTGGTAGTGTGGAAGCCCAGAAACTTCTCTTTGGTGCTACAACTTATGGAAATTTACTGCAAGTAAGTTTTTTACATGTTTAGTGTAAAGGTTACTAAAAACAGATTAACTTTCTCACTACAGGTAGGTCAGAGTGTGCATGTCACAACCTTTTATAATTTATAATTAAACTAGTTTAATTTAATTTGGTTAAGAAACCAAGTTTTAACTTCTTAAATTTTATAAGGAAATATTTTAAAAAATCATCAATCTCCCCAGAGTATGAAAATCATGACATTTGTTCTCTAGGTCTTTCCTCTTTATTTACCATCCTTCTTTGAAGTACAAAATTTAATGCGAATCACTCATTGTAATATAGATATTACTAATACAAAGTAATTTTTATAGCCTTCAATTTTACTTGCTTATGGAGTCATAAACTAGAAAACCAGATCCACTTGCCATGACAACCTGTCATCTCCTCTCTTTTGCAAATTGCCAATAATTCTTTAACATTTAATACTATATCATTTATAACCAATAGAAAGCAAAGTTTAATCTATCAAATAATTTATAATGCTACATTCTTTTCAGTACAGAATATTGTCAATTTTGCCTTCAGTTTAAGATGCTGTTGGAATTATTTGAAGGCTCTTATGCAATAATTAGAAAGCTAGTTAAATTATAAGGAAATTGTTTGCTTTTTGCACGCTAGTATTCTGTGTCCTAGTTTCATTATTATAAAAAAAAAGTATGCTTTAATATCATCAGCAACTGACAGCAAAAAAACAAGAAGTCAAAGGTAAGTACTGTATTTCTTGTTTTTCATGTATAATATTTATTTATGGTTATAAAAGTAACTAAAAGTAAAAATGGAAAGCTCGTTAGTTAGATAATGAAAAAAAACATTCTTCATGAGGTATGCCCTCGAGCAGCTCATGCATTATGTCTTATTCAATAAGGTAACATGAGCTACGCATTTGCTGAGTAATTTACAACTGGTGTGGTGGAATTATTAGTTAGATACAGTTCATAAAGCAATAAAACATTCAAATTAAGTATAAACAGATGTAGACCGTTACAAACAAATTGACGAAGTCATATAGAATTAGAGTAAAAAAAATAACATAAAATATAAAGAGTTACTAAAAAAGAAACGTTTGATATTCATTTAGGTTTTAGAAGTGAAATTTGAAATTTTCCAATCAAGAAAAGTATTTTTAATGTAACATGAAAATCACTTTGCACTCTGAGCAATCAACACTCTGATTCCATATATTCATGGACAAACCTTTAATAAAATTACTTAATTGAAAAATCTAATTTTTCACATACAGAGAGCTTAACAAAGTTTGTCACATTGCCTGACCTCATATGTGAAGAGTTAAACAGACCTACGAGGCCAGAAAGAACAAACTCATTTTTTGTCACAAGAGGTTAATGTAAAAGTGACTTCAAGAAGTACAGAAAAAAAATTAATTTGGGTTGCAAAGTACATTCATATACAATTAGAGACAACTTGGAAAACTAAATATACCTAAGCACCAAAGAATTGTAAAATGACATTAGTTACCAACCCTAGTTACACCAGCAACAAAGTATATTGATTAAGAAGCGTAACTGAAATGACAGTTTTAATGCAATATGAACACATTATTTTTCCATGGTGGTTCATTTTGAGCAACGAAAATTATAGGACAAGCCAATTCTGTTTAATGTGTAGAGAGACGATATATATATCTTAATTGAATACTTTTGGGAGATTTATGTCTAGCTTTCAGGAAATGTTGTGGTATCTGGCAATAAAAAACAAACATTAACAAAGTGTAAGAATTTTTTCTCATAAGAAATAGGGTTAAATATGTTTAATTGTAGTATTTTCAAAATCTGTCTCTTTAAAGATAGAAATATTGTTGTGGTTATTACCTTACTTGTATGTAGTTACATAATTATACAGTATTTCATTACATTCTACTTTAGGCATGGTCTGTTTCTTTTAATAAATTTATTGAAGGAACTGTTATTTTCCTACAGTTTATAGATGGACACTTTGACACCAACATAGGACCCAAAAAAGAATCTACTAGCTACACAAAAATTGCTAATGAATGTGGTTATCAGGCACATCAAATTCTTTTCTTAACAGATATACCTGAAGGTGAGTTTAATACTGAATTACCCACATTTCCTGAGCACAATGTAATAACACTACAGAATACTAATTAATGTTTCTATGAAAGGTTGTGGAAATTATCTGTTTTATTTTGTTTCTGGAACATCTACATAAGTTATATTCAAGTAAAACATCACTATATTCATATAATGCATGCTACTTAGTAGAAGGTTCCACTAACATCTACTTTATCAGCTACAATTCTTTGATTTTATTACTGCATTTAAAAGGTAAGTGAAAATTTCAGTTTCAATAAAACATTCCCCATGAAGAATCAGCTTAACCCTCTCAGTACAGGCATCCTTTTCTGCACATTTCACAAGGTTCTACTGAGTTATATTCAAAATATAAGTCCTAATTTTAAAAGGCAATGTTAAAAATAATCCTGAATTTCCCCAGTCTGAGAATTGTGATATTTGCTCTCTAGGTCTCCCCATCCCCTCCGAGAAGTACAAAATTTAACACAAAGGATAATTTTTATAGTCTTCAGTATTATTTGGTTAAGCCATAAAATAGAAGATCAGACCCCTCTTGCCATGACCTGACCACCTGTCACATCCTCTTTCTGATGTTTAATACTATATTATTTATAACCAAGAGAAACCCAAAGTTTTAATCTATCAAATGGTGTATTATATTACATTTTTTCTGTACAGACAATTGTCTATTGCACTTCCAGTTTAATGCATCGAAGAGCTTAGCTGAATTTTTAATGGCTCATGTCACACAGTTAGAGGACATTATCTGTTCTTTGGTGCAGTAGTACCATTAGTATAAAAAAGTTTGATTATGGTTAAGTTTCATCGACACCAACACACCCAGGTAAATACTATATTTCTTGTTTTTCTTTGAAACTTTTTAGGTTAGATTAGGTAAAATAAATAATAGAAAATTTTCATGAGGTATGCTTGTGAGTAATTTGTGCATTATGTAATTTAATAGGATAATGTGAACTACACGTTCACCAAGTTACTTTCAACTTGTGTGGTGGGATTATTAGTTAGACACAATAAAATGGTAAAATTAAGTATAAACAGATGTAGTTTCATGTTACAATTGGAAGTCATTCTAGACAAAAAAAAAAGGGTAATTTTAAATCTATTTTCTTATTTTTTTGTGGTGGTTACTTGGTACTATAGGGTAAAAAAATAAGAGATAAAATATAGTTTTATTGAAGGTAAAATGTCTGAAATTTATTTAGGAGGTTTTAAAGATTACACAAATGAAGAATTTTTAATCTTAACATGAAAACTGCTTTGCACTTGGAGCAGTTAACACTTTGACTCCATATATTTATGGAGAAAGATTTAGTGAAAATACTTCATTAATTTTTTGTCTACAAATGACACTTAATGATTACTTAAAAGTTGTGAACTTTTGTGAAGATGCACAAAACATATTAGAGGTTATAGTATGAAAACTCTAAAGGCCAGTTTGGGGTAAATTTTTAGGTCGAATCGACCAAGTCTGTAATGAGAGAGTTAGAAAAAAGTTTGGTTATTAATATTGGGTATTTTTATAATTAATAAACAAATATACCAGGAAAAATGGAAATTTAATCTTGCATGGAAGAGGATTCGAGTATCTTGAAATATTCATTTCTAAAGCCTGCATGAACAATATGCATTTTCAGGTAGAAAATGGTTTACATACAAAATTTACAATGTATTTAGCTTAGATTAGCCAATATTAAGTCCAACTCCTCATTACTGTCACACTCAGCCAAAGGGTCTCTTGTGTGCTAAACCTTTTGACTATATTGGAAATATTATATAAAAAGTCCTGCCAAAAAGTGTATTTATTTTCCAACTATCTCCAAGTCTGTCACTTTTTTTTAATTATTCAGAATCTCAAGCTGCTAAGAATGCTGGAATGAAGACCACATTAGTAAGCCGAGAAGGGAACAAGTCTCTTTGTGAAGAAGTAGTTAAAGAGTTTGGAGAAGTTAAGAGTTTTGACCAGATATCACTACTTTAACATTTCTGTAGAATTAATATCACAGAATTATGCTCAACACCAATAACAAGTTTAAAGTGAATTGCCTTGTTCTCAAATATTCTGTTCAGGCCTGTTTTAATCCTCTTTTTTGTTATCATAACATTGCAATAGTAATAGCAAAAAAATAAGCTTTCTAGTTCTATCAATAAATGTAAATTCAGTTTGTGGGTAAAATGTTTTGTGAACATCCATAAGGAATCACACAAAGTGAAATTACTGATTTTTGGAGTTGGCAGTAGATGGCAGATGTCCAAGGGTGTCACTGTGCTATTCAGTTACTTAAACCCTCTGTCCAAACTCAGTTTAGGGTGATTCTTGGGAAGAGGTTATTGGTGCAGTTCTAAGCCAAATTAAGATGGCACTTCAAGTGCTTATTCTATAGATTATCGTAATCACCATATAAAATCATGTCAGTATGATTAATATGCTGATAATTGTTCTTGTCACAAGCTTAACTGTGAAAAGATATGGCATTATGTTAAACAATGATCACACTTGATACATTTTCATAAATATAAACCACAAACTTTAATCTTTGGAATTCAATGTTTTCCATCCACCAAAGACAAAATAAATTCTGCACTAATTATAAGTAAAAATTGATATGACAGTTTCATATATGTGTATATATATATATTTTTTTTTAAATAATCATCTTAACAGATTGATTGTATAATTCAAATACCCTTACCTGCATTTGTACAGATTTTCAAATACAGACCCTCAGAATAGAACTTAAAACCCAATAGCATTTTGATTTTACAAGCACTCACCAAAGCTGCTGACTTTTACACTACAATGAGCTCCTAGGTTCAATACATAGTGTTAAGATACACATTATATGAAGAATCTGGCAAAATAGTGGTACACCAACATGAGTCTTAGAACCTGTGCATTTAGTTCATAGTTAATTTCCAAACATTAGAGATGCAGTGCTACCATAGATATTGCCACAAGTAAAAGTTCCTCCAGGAGATGTAAAGTTAAAGGACATATTTTTTTGAAGAAGGGAGACTTCACTATTCTCTACTGGATCTCAATTGCACAGCAGTAGGCTACAAGGTTGATCTGTAATAGCACTTATCCACAAAGTGAAAGATTTGTTACCAATAAGAACCCTTCAACCCCCTCCATAAATTTTGTTACAATCAAAATGAGCCTATCTCATGATACCTTTGTAACTATAGTAATGAAGGATGTAATGTTAAATAAGGCTTATAAGTCCCCACCTCAAAAACTAAAAATTACAACAATTCAATCACATACCCATCAAGCCCCACTGCACTTAAGTTAACTTGTGTAATCTTGGAAATCAACATCAACTAAATGTGTGTGTGGAAAATTTGTAAATAATATGCTCACCATCCTTTACAGAAGCATACTTATTACAAAAGGGGACAGTTCCAAAAGCAGCACAAGACCTGGAGCATCCCTCAGTACAGTGGTTCAGATTATCAGTATCAACAAAATCCCTTTGGAGCTAATTAATATTTAACATGCAAATCCCACAAGTTCAATATAATTTTAAGCAACAATATGTCTGTAATGTCCTCCTGTCAGTTAATAAAATGATAAAATAAAACAAGTCTACCAGATGATAACTAAAGATACTAGATTATTTAAAAGGTGTTTCAAATATGTAATAGTGACCGAGGTGAAAGTAAGTACATTGGAAAACATACAACATCTTACAGGTTATCACTAATGGTAATAGATCTATAAGGGCAAGAAAAAAAAGGCTCCATAAGGTTTGTTGGATTTCTAATTAATCAGATATAATGGGACAAAAATGTACTTGTTAGTACACACGTTCTGGCTTTGCATAGTACATGGTAATCTTCTGTGTTTTAAGAAAATTTGAAAACTATTTCACATACTTATAAGTATAATAGCACTCATGAAACATGGAAAAAAAAGTCTGACTTAGTAAGGCTAAAACAATGGTGCAAAAGTTAGAAATTGAAATGGAATGTTCCTTATAATATCTTAGGAATAAATTAAAATTAAACCACATTCATACAACCACTTTAGAAGCTACAACATGGTCTCTATGACAATCCAACACTTAAACAAAAATAAACCAAAGCACAGACCAGAGACGAGGACTAGAAACTTGAAATCAGTGTTCCACCATGAAGAATTACACCAAACCTAAGATGAGATGCATGGATAGATTTAGATCTTTAGCAGGATGGATTTTAGGTATGTCTTTCCATTCGAAGTTGGTCTGAGCTTGTTGTGTTGGGCCTCATAAACACCAAGTTACTTTGAGCCTAAGGATATCAAGTAAATGTCAGTTACTTTTTCAGTAACAAAACATAATAATAGCATCAGTTTGCTCTACGTTTAAGGAAGAACAGCACTAAAGCAAGTTTATTTCAAATTTTGGGCAAAATTGCTAGATTAACAAATAATTCAATGCAATTTTTACATTAAGAGAAAATATCTGTTGATCAACAGATGGAAGTCATGGTTTAATTTTTCAGACCAACTCTACTCTGTCTTTATTATTACACTGAAATCTCATCAAATTATATACCTTATTTTAAATTCAGGTCAATAAATGCAATACATAACATTTTGTTTGTCCTGTTTTTGTTATTTTCAATATGGGTTAGAATATATTTTGCACAAGTATAGGCTACAAATCAAAATATAAAACTGATGAGCCCTTATAAATATTCTTTTTTAATATATTTTCAAAATTGAAGAATGATTTACACACATATATTACAGGCAAACAACTACATTAACATCTATGTCTAATAAAACCTGTTAAAAGCACATAAAAGAAATTTTTAAATAACTGTACTTTATAACTTATATATAAGTTATTTAGTCTGGTGAGTGCAAAGACAGTTAAATTATGGCTTGTTTGTAAGACAGTAGGTGAAAGTAAGGATCTACATAATGAACAAAGGTGAAATAGGCAACAATAGCCTACTAAATATGACATTTGTGGAGAAAGTAAAGAACTAATCTACAAAAGACTGCTTCAAGTCAGTTTGCACTGGTTTTACTATGTGGTAGACCGGATGTGATTGGTTGTTGATTCTTGTAAAGTGATAATTTTACCAATAGCAGCCACAAACTGATGATTTCCAAGCCTGAGTACCACTAGCAATGATTTTGTGTTGATGTAAAAAAAGACTGTTTTTTGTTGTTTTTTGCCAGAATTTATCGGAGTCAGTGTGTCTGTATTATGTCCAGTCAACATGGCAAGTTCTATGTTTCATCAGTCATATGCAGTCTCTATGTTCTTTTATTCTTTCCCTGATATTTTATGAATGAAGTTTTTTGCCATCAGATGTTCATTGTTTAGTTTTGACAAGGATAGATTTCAGTGTTTTGTAAGATTTGCAGCAAACATTAACGTTGAACTTTCTGGTCACACATTAGATCTTTTCACTTTATTTTTTGCACATATTGGAGGTAAATAGTGTTGGTCTTGTTTTTATATGTCTGTGGTATCAGTTTGTATTTCTATGTTTGTCAAGCCATTGGTGATGAAAGTAGGAGGGTACCCGTTCTGTTTAAAGCATTGCATAATATGTTGGCTTTCAATTTTGATTAGTACTCCAAGACTTTCTCCACAAGTATCACATTGAATTAGGCAGTTGTTGCCCCTTTCACCTTTATTCACCATGAAAAGTGCCCAAATCATTGATAAAAGGATCTTTGTAACTTTCAGAGGGGGTATAATACTAAGAGCATTGTTATCACAGACGATTTCTTTAGGTGGCTGTTCAAAAAAACCTTCACCAACTGTTGGTGATAGACCAGTGGAAAGAAAGACTAGACAGGCTTTTAAAGTGCAACAAAAGTGAGATCATATCCTAACTGACCAATTATTTCAAGTGTAGTAAAGTTTTGAGAATTGTCAACCATACTATGTGAAGGAGGTTATAAAAACAACCTTAGTTGTATTGTTCTAACCATAAAAGCTGCAAAAGGTGGTAATGTAATGTTCTCCTAACAGGGGTTGGGTTCTTTTATAAAAGAGCAAATAACATTCAGAGTGTACCTGACTGATGTTGCTAGTAATGACCACCCCACAATGCCAAACTTCTACCTTGATGAACAAGGGTTCATCCAAAATAAAATGCAAAAATTAACTGTTCTTTTATTGTCCAAAATTGGATTTAAGCGATTGCAGTCATCTTCCTCAGCTAGCATTATTACCAGGTGATAAAAGCAACTAAGAATGAATATTCTAATGACAGCTGTGAATTAATTACAGACTATACTCCTAAAAAAATGTTACAATTGAGCATTTTATACTGTATATACAATACCAGATCCAGACTATTATCAGGATGAAAGATGGTTTAACTCAGTGTTAGGTGAGTTTCCTGCAAAAAGTGGATAGCCAGTGTCTAAAATTTACACTTTAATAAAAACAATGCAAAATTTACTCTATACAAAGTTTGTTGTTTCAGTTTTTTTTTAAAGCTTCCCTAAATCTTACCTGCTCTTCAAAACGTAATGCTGACATTGAGCTGGCTTTCTTCATTCTGAAAGGAATAAAAATGCCATCATTAGCTCAGGTTATGTACAACTCCCTGTCACTCCTATATTAACTTATAGCATCATATGTTTTGTGCTGTACAACACATTTTTGAATAGCATTAATGTTTTAATCAAAGATGGGATACTGCACATTGTACATTAATTTAACATCAAGAAATGAACATATTTTATACATTTTGCAAATACACTACTTGAAACAGTGAAATGATTATCAGTTTTCTATATTCTAGCGAAACAAAGTACAACTACTATTATTACTAAACAATGTCAATGGTATCTTTGAACTCATTTTTATGCAAAATATGTGTCAGGTGATTGTGTATGTGATCTAATATGCACACTTCAGTGTTGTATAAGTGTGAAGGAAATGCACTGTGTTATCAGTTTGAACAGCAGAATGCATAAAGAGATCCAGATTGATAGTAAAACATGGCAAGACCCTATTGAAGACATTTCCATGATGTGGAGAGCAAAAGATTAACTAAAAGGTGGTTAAACAAAAGTTGCAGTATAGTTAGTAGGATGCGACTCTTTTTGAATACAAGTACAGTTAGCTGGAGTGCAGGTTAAAACATGTTGACAACCCCACAAGACAGTTACTACTTGACGATATAGGCTTAACATAACAGCAAGCCTAGAAGTGATCCAAATGAACCAACAACCCAAATCAGCAATTAGATAATAAATAAACATGCAAATGGTCAGATATCAGCTTCATAACATTGACCATATAACAGATGACCAATAGTGTGCATTTCTCTGTCCCTTTACAACAACATCAACAAACAAAAATCTGTCACTGTTTTCATGAACATGTGAATTAGTCAAACAACATGTAGATGAATATCTTGTTTATGGATGCATCACATTTTGCACAACAACTGGATATGAGAAACACATGCATTTAGAGATTGGCAAGTACCAGATCTTTCCAATTTCACAGAGGAAAGACATGCATATGGTGATAGCAGCATGCCATTCTGGGCAGTAATCAATATTGGTGACCACACTAATTAGTTTTGCCATATGCAGTTGGCTGGTAATTTATTACAATAAAATATACTACACCCCTCACTGTGCTCATTTTATTAGCAACTTTCTAGTGAATGCAATGACCAGTAAGTTCACTAGGTTTGAATCTCATTGAATATGTATGTGATGCTCTAGGAATACACTTATCACACTACATTTAACAGTCACCTCCAAGCAGTGTTTATGAAGTGGAAACAGCTCCATAGAGGAGGCAACTATATTAGCATAGTACCTGCATCAATGTATGTAATTTAAATTTGTAGCTTTTTCCACATTTTTTACAGCCTGCTAATTCTTTAGTACCAATAAGCATTTGTGACACAGATTCCAACAGTAGGCATTTGCACATCAGTTCACAAGACACTTCCTTAACATGAATATGTACTCAGGGTGCCACGAAATTATTTAATAATAATATCTTTGTCTTGTCACAACTAGAATATAGAGAACTCTGATTATTTCGTAATTGTTTTGAGCAATATACATGTATTTTCCTTCCATCAAAGTTGAACATACCTTTACAAAGTATCAGTTACACATTTTCCTACCATTAATGTTATACAGTAAACTTTCCTATTAACAAAAAACATAGAACCCATGGATTGCAACAAAGTAATTATAATAGTAAAAAAAAACTGAACACTTTATCAATAGTGTTTCAATAAGATTAGAAAAGTAACCAATATAGTTTTGGCTTATGGCTCTACTTAACATTCTAATGCCTCTATATATAATGAAGGAAATGATCAGTGTTTTATCTCATGGAGTTGGATTTAAGAAGTACACTTGTGAGTAACCTAGTCTTCCTGAAACGATATGTATTAAAGAAACTTTTCTAAAATCATCTTTGACTTCATCATTTTCTGAATATTTTTAGAAAAGATAGAAACAGTTGCCATTGATAGTTAAAGGAAAGACCACTTTTAAAAAGTGCTTGAGATTTTGGTCAGTTTCTTTGGCCATTAAGGTTACAACTTCTCAGTTATCAATTACAAACGTAAGTATTACACACAAACTTCTGTGTTATCAAGATTGTGTAGGCACACTTATAAACAGGATTAAATACAAATTTCTGTATTGTCAAAATTGTTCAAGCACACTTGCAAACATAAGAATTGCATACAAGCTTCTGTATTGTTAAGATTGAACATGCACACTTACAAATATAAGAATTATATGTTTTACACTGGTCACACCATCACACTTTCCTACTTCAAGGCCACACTTTGTTATCAACGAAGGTGTACATCTTAGAAGTAACACATGCACGTATTCAAGTATCAAAGTTTGCACAAATACACACATCTACCTGACTCAAATTTTTATGCAGCCAACATTTTGAAACTAAACACAGTAAAATTGCTGATTATGCAGAAAAATAAAAACCAGACATTGATTATGTGGAAGAATTTGAAGTCGTGTGACCTTCACTTAAAATAAAAACAGATTAAAACTGGCATTTAAAAGGGTGTTAAGCATAATTCATGTAATCTCACCATCAAAAGTAATTTAACAAAATTTTACAAAATATTAACAAAAAAAGACTTATAAAAGTCTTTTGATAGGCCACAAATCACTAACTGGCCAACAGGCACCACTTGCCAAACAACATGTTGAAAGTTCCAAAACTAGTAATAATGACTTAGGTTTAACTTTACAAACCTTAGAAATTCATAATTGATTATGCAATCAACTACTACTTATGTAGTCACATATATATTATACACAAACAAAATGCCTTGGCTACATAATCTCGTCCTGCATGTACCATCAAAGCAACACAATATTCTTCACTGCCATCAGTTATAAATATACATGCTTCCTTACTATCAACGTTACGATACATACTTCACAAACTTAATGGTTCAATCTGCACTTTTCTACCATCAAATACATTCAGAAACACTTATTACACATATAGAAAGGGATCTAAGTTGCAAAGTAGACCTTCCTTGAGAACATGCTCTGGTTATCAGATTAATTGTATTTTTCAAGTAATGAATTAAATCTACCAAAGCACTTTTGTTTCAACATCAAAATAGTACATGAAATATAAAAGGCTTAATACAGCTGAAGTTTCATGTCGTCATGCTTTTTGAAATATACAAGGTACGGGTTTCTTACAAAATAAACAAATATAATATTTTGAAATATAACAAATACTAAAAATAAATATTCAAATAGTAACAGAACAAATCATTAATTTCAAAACCTTTTAGTTGACTTTAACTGGTACCTTTATATCTTAAACTTTCATAACATATCTATGTTTTGACTCCTACCTGATGCTCTTTTACAAGGATAGATATCGGGGATGCACAAATAAAATGCTACAAGGATAATTATAAAGCTATGAAAACCTAATGTTAAACATAAAACTTATGCAGCAACTTGTAATAATGTCAGATGACTAAAAAAAAAAGCATGGTAAAAGTTTAATCATTTGCAGGAAGTGGGAGAAACAGGCAAGCTATATTCATGTACAGACATTGATAGTGTTTCATTAAACCTTTACTATACAGACACAACACATGCTTGTCTTGAAAATAGCACTATGTCAATTTTAAATATGAACTGATAAATGTTATAGGTGATTGAGGAAGAAAAAGCTGGTTTTACCTTTTGGAGCAGTTGTCGTTGGTACTCTGATACAAAAATTCAGATTTGCCTCTTTCCCTCAGCTTCTGGACAAGCTTGGCACTGCTGTGACGAATGGAGGCCCGTAACTTGCTAAAGGAACTGCTACGTTTCAGCTTGCTGTTCACATTCTGCAGAGCACATTGGTGAGAGAGTAGAAAGACCACTACATCACTTCCATAGCCTGTTGCCACCAACAGACACAAGTACAGAAAACCACCTCTTGGCTATTAAATTTCATGTATTTAAAGAACTAATGTCCAAGAAAGTGGAAATTTAAGGATACAAGTCTAAGTATGAACTATTACTTTACCTTTTTTTTATGTAAAATGGTAAAGTGTACGTGAATGACTAATTCAAGTTCTAAAAGTGATTCCAAATATTACACAAGTATTGGTTATTAACAAGTAAGGCAATTTTGTTTAGAATAAGTACTTAAATCTACACCATAAAGTGATTTTGTATGGAACAAAAATGCTAAACTGAATGGTAGAATAGTTTTGTGTTAAACAACAAACTATACAGTAAGATGATTCTGCATGTAATAAGCTTAAACATACAATGATTTTGTATTTAAAAAAACGTTTTAAAACTATACACAAGGACAATTTTTAGTGGAACATATACTTGAAACTACGTAGTAGGAATCTTCTTGTGTTAAACAAGGAATGCCATACAATATATGAATGCAGTTTTATAACCATTAATAGTGCTATATGCATGTGCAGTTGGTTAAAGCTCCCTTCTAATGGATGGTAACATATGCCTCTACCATACTCAACTGATAAGCCATTTCTTGGAAGATGAAATGGCCAGCATGCTCATCAGAGTTGAATCTGACAAGATGCTCTAGGTAGACATTTGGCAGCATGTGATTCACCTCCAAGCAGTGTTGCTAAACTAGAAACAGCTCTGGTGGAGTGGTGTGCCATATAATTTGTTAATAAAATGATCCATCAAAGTACAACTTGCATTCTGTTTGATGTGATCTTGCATTATTAAAAAATGTTTTCTGATCATTTATTGGGTTGCACATTCTCTAGTACCACATAACAGCATTTGTATACATGATTTCCCATAATTAGCATTTGCTGACACTTGTTTTACACATAATTGAATTCAGGAGTGCCACTGACAACATTTAATGACAATAGCTAGAATATAAAAGCTATATGTATGTGTGAAACTGGTGTAGAAAAAAGCTGTTACACAAGATTTTATGTTCCCACTATTATATAGGAATATAACTATTGAATTTTGTTCTAAAAATATAATATAAAAATATAAATATTTGCAATTTAATGCAATGCTATGTCCTTATCCCAGCTTTTATACATACATATACATATGTAACAGTTTTTACATGAATGATCTTGTTGAACTGTTCTATTTCTCTGTGTGTATCTGATGAGGCACTAATGCAGGGTTGCCCTTAATAAATAATCATAGGCTAAACATAATGTAATGTTATTTGTCATTTCTTAAGAAGCCATGAAAAAGACTAAGCTGTGATTTCATATGTGCATTGAAATTACTCCTAAGAATCTCAAACTTTACAAAATGACAGAATTATTACTAGCATTTTCTACCAAAGTATTTTAGTTCATAATGCATATTTTGAATTACACTGAATACATAATTATTATCATGTTTACTAAAATAATTTTCTATTGAGCCTTATACAACCTACTAAATATTATATACCAAGTTTGATGTAAGAACACGGGGACTTGGGAAAGTTTTGTAGCTACCGCTGTATTTACTTTAATGATGACATAGTATGATTAAATATGTATTAGGTTTTGAAATTTAAACTTCTAAGCATTACAACTAAAACTCTTAAGTCAAAACCACAGTTTCAGTTTATAACAATTAAAGGCGAGTTTATTTTTTCCAATAAATACAAGTTTATTGTGAACAAAATTGAACAACCTTCACCCAGTGAGTTATCAATAATGCTAAAAAACTGCAAGAAATCAAAAATTTTGTAACAAATTTGAGATTCAAGCTGCTTGATACATAATCCAATGTTGTTATTATTTTTTGGTAAAAATGAACTATGTACAAATTAACTATTAATGTGACCTCAAGTCAGAAAATACTTGGGTTCTTGTGTAATATATCAAATACCATAAACTTAAAAGCCAAAAATCACAATAATGGTTTAACAATCAGAAGTGCAAACACATTCAAAAAATGCTGCATCTAAATTATAAATATAGATCACAACACTATGTAATACACTAAAATGTTATGTTGATTCAATAGCCTCAGAAAGGAAATACAAAATAAGAAAAGTTGGACCTTTGTTTAGTACTGAATTAGTAAAACTACATGTTATTCTTTAATTTGGATATTTTATTAGCAAGAGTTACATAGTATTTCAACACTTCTTGCAAACTACCAAATGATTTAAGTTATTATTTCTGGGGAACTAATTTCTACAACAACAATGAGCTAAATATCTCTGGTATTTTTTCTAATTAGCATGTCAAGAACATTTCCAAAGCTATATCTAATCAATAATCTGCCTTAACGTCTGAAATTTTTATCTACACTACATGTATTAATACAAACAATACATTAGTTATGGAATTAAAAAAAACACTTGCTAACAAATTCTCTGAAGATTATATTTATTATTTTTGTTATAACAAGAATTTTTTTATATCATAAAGTGGAGAAAATTAAACAAACTTAATATAAGCAATTTGCATAAAGCTTTCTTATCTTACCCAAAACATTTCTGTTGTCCTTAATTTATACAACTAAAATAAATGTATCAATCTTCATAGTTTCTACATAAATACATGGAACAATGCTTTTATTTTAAAGATTTATAAACATTTAAGCACACACTTATCTAAATTTAATTTCACATAATTTCTGAAAGTCAAATATTATACTTGTCATTTTAATATAGTGTAATGGAACTGTATGAGTAATTTTACTTTAACTACACTTTATGGATCTGCCCTTACTATTTCTTTCTCCTGCCTTGTTGGTTTAAACATTGTGCCTGTTATCTGATGAATACAACCAAAGACACAGACTAACTGTTCACACAAAAGTGGTCGTTATACCCGATAACCGCAGTACCTGCAAGTTGTTTACCTAGAACTGGACCTGCTAACCAATGTTAAGATAAATTGTTTGACTACAAATAATTGAATATTATGTTTGCTAACCACTGTACATTCAGCCAGTTAGTCTAAGAAAACACAACACTATCAACTAATCAATGTACATTCAGCCTGTTGGTCTAAGAAAACCCAACAATATCAACTAACCACTGTACATCCAGCTTATTGATCTAAGAAAACACAACACTGTCAATTAAACAATGTACATTCAGCCTGTTGGTCTAAGAAAACCCAACAATGTCAACTAACCACTGTACATCCAGCTTATTGATCTAAGAAAACACAACACTGTCAATTAAACAATGTACATTCAGCCTGTTGGTCTAAGAAAATCCAACAATGTCAACTAACCACTGTATATCCAGCTTATTGATCTAAGAAAACACAACACTGTCAACTATCACTGTACATTCAGCCTGTTGGTCTAAGAAAACTCAACAATGTCAACTAACCACTGTACATCCAGCTTGTTGGTCTAAGAAAACAAACATAGTCAACTAATCACTGTACATTCAGCCTGTTGATCTAAGAAAACTCAACAGTGTCAACTAATGACTGTACATCCAGCTTGTTGATCTAAGAGACCCAATACTGTCAACTAACCACTGTACATCCAACCTATTGGTCTAAGAAAACCCAAAACTGTCAACTAACCACAGTACATTCAGTGTGTTGGTCTAAGAAAACTGAATACTGTACATACAACTTGCTTATAAACATATAAGACTTCTAGCAATAGCTTTGAAATATCAATTCAATTTACTAATATATATATATATAATTTTCTCAAGAAACAACAAATAGGAAACCTAATACACCATAGAAAGTGCTACTAACCATGTTACACCTTTAACTCTTTCACTGCTATGTTTATAGATAAAAATCTGTCCCTCTTGCATATTTATTTTTAGAAAGACACAATAAAAAACAAAAAGCCACATTGTTCAATATTTTATTACTTAAATGAAATTTGAAATTGATAAATTTTGGGAAGTGTGAAGGGGAATATCCTTTATTCATGGAGATAGAAAATTCCAAACTCACACTTTTCAAGGCTATAATAAAGGTTATATAACACACTCCATATATGTGGCTATGGCAATGAAAGAGTTAAACTTAAAAGATTAAATAACTTTAACTTCAACTGATATTTATCAGCATCATGTGAGAAACGAATATCTACATTGTCCTTTTATTAACAATGCAAAGCCAGAGCATGGAACAATTTTACATGTATATCTGAGCCACACAGCTGTTGCAGCTTCTTGCCAATTGGGAAAGGCCTAGCTTGGAAATAGAACTCTTAGTTCTCTTTATATTTTAATGATGGCCATTGGCTAAAGATTGAAATATGCACAAACTGAGTGATACATGTGCACTAGCAGCTCAAAACCTTCCTACATAGATGCAGTCCATTCATTGACACCTTTCAAGTAGTGTCTTTAGGCAGTATATTTCATGAAGCTGATATTCACAAACGGTGATATTTTATATACCAAAATCCCTCATAAAGCTAGTATCTTCATAGAATGGTATTTCTATCATTAGTATACCACTATAGTGGTATTTCATACATTTGCTACCTTTAGAGCCTTTTGAGTAAAAAATATAAAATGTGTGTAGTACACTCAATTAATGACATACTGTATCTATAAGTAATTTGTTTTGTGTGGAATAACACGACCTGTGTCAGTGTAGTATTATACGAGTAAAATAATACTACATGTGTGTGTGTGTGTGTGTGTGTGCAGCTTTTCCCTCCAGTGAAAATAACAACCCTACATATTCTTAGAATTATGAGTAAAACATCTGAAGAATACTGCAACTGTTTTAATATTTTGAAACTCAGCAACTAATCTTTTACAAATATTACAATTGTGAGACACATTCAGTTTTATTTTTAATTAACATGCAGAAATATAGATGATAACAGACTTAAGAAATTATAAACTTGATACCAGTCAACAGCAACAGAAGAACTGAGAAATAACCAAGTACCACAACCACACCACAGGGAAACAAGGTTTCTTACTATGTATGTTGCATTAAATAAAAAATAAAATAATGCAGAAACAACAGACCTAGTATAATCTGACTTTGTTATCCTATACATGATTTGTACTCAATGCAAGAGTTAAAAATCCCAATGTACAAACCATATGAAATTAAATGATTAACAGCAATTTAACTGTAGCTTGCTTAGTGTGCATTACCCAAAAACATAAAAAATACACAGACTATTAATTTCAAAATTATATCCAAGAGTTACTAAAATTTGTGTAAACTCACATAAAGTTCCCACTTTAAGAAATAATAATTATTTTTAAAAGGTAACTTAAAATGAACCAAAAAGAATGTCTTTCTGTTCAAGAGTGTTTTTAAATCTTTCACCAAAATTTTTCTGCCCACCAATAAAGACTACAATAGTACAACAGTATATATCAAGTATAATATAACAAACAGTGTAATAATACCAAGAAAAACTATACAATAAATAACACAGTAAAGACAATATATTTTTAAAGATCACAGATATAAATGTAAAATGAAGAACAGACTACTACAGCAGTCAGCGGGGGTGAGCTTTACTCACTTCGTCACCTACATCACTCCTTTCACAAGTTACGCTGTCAAGTGACTCCCGGGACCCTTGACGACTGTTATTTTTAGAGGATGATCGTCTTCGTTCCTTAGAAACTCCACTGAATTCAGTGCCTAAATGATGTACCCCTTTCCCTATTCTTCCTGTGTCTAAAGCCTACAAGCAGCAGAGAATATAATACTCATAACCTGCTATTCCTAAACTACAAAATTAAATATTAAATTAATACAAAAGTTTTAAGACCAATCAAGAAACTAAGCAGTTTTAAAAACATTTTTAACTTTAAACTTGATATAATTAACCTACCGATCCTTTTCCTGGTTTTCTTTAAATAATACAATACAAGTGACACATAAAAATGTATTATTAAAAGTTTTGTACCTAAAGGACACCCTTTTTCCTTTATATTCATTCATTTATACACTACAAGCATGATAAGTATGATCTACGTATGCTACTGCTGGTTGTACAAAGTAATATATTTGTAATGTATGGTAAAAACACCCTAATTATTAATTAATTATTATAAAGTGTCAGACCAAAATGCATCAGTGTTAGTAAAAATAATTAATGTAAAATCTCTAGATACATAATGCACCCATGTTGGTAATCACACAGATAAGCCTTATACAGAAGTTATAAATTCCATTTGTTTTCCATCCACAAATTACAAGTGGAATATATATTCTTCTCATTAAAAATTTTAAACTTAAGTAATCAACCTTTCTTTCTAGTTTTAGCAATTACAAACAAGAAACAACACATTATTTTTATTACACTTGGTACCTAAGTCAAACATATCTTCTTTCAGCTATAACTGCAGCTCATCACCTAATTTACTATTTTAATTACTTATAAACTACAATTACTTCCACTAGTTACGTGAAACTTCTCGCATCTGAAAACTAAAATAATAGCCTTTTTAACTGGGTCTACAAAAAAAAAACTTTATAGCCTACTTGGTGGGCCAAGAGAATAAACTGAGGACTAAAGTTTTCACCTGCGATGCCTACTATATAAAAACGGAAGTTTTAACTTCTTGAACTAAGCTGAAAAGTATAATATCTTGTCTACAAATCAATAAATGAAATTTGAATATTTTCATTTGGTTCATCAAAATAAAAACTTTAAACCTAAAGTTTTATCCTTTTATACCAAGTTTACAGAAAGTTAAACTTCTGAGACTGTCTGTAATTCTAACAATTCTACCCTCTAACTATCTCGAACCTCTTTTCTTGCTCTTAGAGCACAATCTTCTAATGTTTCAGCTGCTTCATGCATCCCTTGCCTCCTGTATAGAGCTCCCAGGCTTTTTAAGGTGTTTGCAACATTTGGACTGAAACAAAATGTTCAGTTAAATAAAGCAAATACAATATAGTAAGATAGTCCAATTAAAAGAGAAAAATAAAAATGAAAGCTATAATGTGTTTTGGTAAAATATTTAGAAAAAACGACCTTTACACTCCAGATATATATAAAAGTTTTTATTATAACCAATGAAATATCCTAATATCAAACAGTTGTGTATATTAACCCTGATGAAGCCGCAAAGGCGAAACATTGGTTAAAATAAAAACAACTTCTTTTATATATATATGTAGTGTAGAGGTCATTTTTCTAAACCTTTTATCAAAATGTGTAAATCCCTCCAGTTCACTACAAACTTTGAACGCAATAATGTATACATATTTTAAACCTTTTAAAAATTTTCAATATAAAAAATAACTGTATACACACTTAGTACAAATACATTTAGAATGCTCATCAGTATTTCAGCAACAATATTTTGTTCACCTCAATTCCAATAAAGTGCCAAAAGATATCAATCCTGCCCAAAACAACTGTTTCTAGACAATTACACTAAATTATACAGGAGACAAAACTAATGCAAAATAAATAGTTTGTATGTAAATAAGACCATGCAACTACAACAACAATTAGTTTATTATAAAGCTAATACTACAAAAAAACAACTGTTGTTAATAACTAAAACAA